ACACACACGCAGACACACACACTTTCTTGCTCTCACGCACGCACACACACACACACACACACACACACACACACACACACACACACACACACACACACACACACACACACACACACACACACACACACACACACACACACACACACACACACACACATACATAAATATAAATTAATAAGTGAACAAATTAATTCAGGCTTTATGGTAGATGATGCAAATTTGTAAATAGTTAAGATAGTATTGACGCTTTTAGTGTTTGGGAAATTGTGTACATACTTTACAATACTACAAACAAATAATAAGGATGCAGAGTAGAATTATGTAAAGTAAAATTGCGATCTGTGAAGAGAGGAAGGCATGTATTTTCTATTGTCAAAGGATGTCATTATTTTTACTGTTATACGGAAAGAACTTATGGAATTTTCTTAAAGGTTGTTAAGGAAATATTATTTGGCAGATGAGCATTTTATAGATGTCCAGATATCAGAGAATAGGTTGTCAGCATAAGCAAGGAGTAGGTCTGTTTTCTCTCTCTCTCTCTCTCTCTCTCTCTTTTGATTTCGATGTATGTCTCGATATTGACACTAGCCCTTTGTACGACTATGGATGTGCAAGTGTGTATGTGCATTTCCTGTAGGTGCAGTGTGTTTGGCTTAAGTAAGTGTTCTGCTGCAGATTCACTGGTTTTCGCAGGGTGTTTTGATGGAGACAACGACAATGATGACAAAGTCTCCCTCCGTTTGTGAGCATCAATGGACAATCCTCCACTCTCGGTTGTTACCTCAATGTCCTAAGTAATGTCAGGTTAAGCGAATGCTTCCAAATATCTGCTTGTAAATAGCTGAGGGTCGAAAACATCCTATCACACCCTATGTAACTGTTGAATTTTATATATTTAGTGTTGAGAGAGTCAACTAAGCTAGTTTAAGTGGACTAGATGCAGGGTTTTGAAAGCGTCTTTTGTAAGGTGTGAGTGTGTGGTGTGTGAGGGTTGGGACAAGTATTCTTAGGTGAATGTATATTTTTGGTGTGTTGTGCACTTATGTGTGTCTGCGTACACGTGTATGCATGCCTATTTGTATGTAACAGTGCATGTATATTTCTTTAAATATACATGGTCTTCCTATAATAAAATGCTAGTTTTCAGAGTCACTGCATGCTAGCAAATTATTGACATTGGAAAAGTAAATGACTTTTTTTTATAATACCAAAGAAGAATATTTAGAAAGGTTACAAAATGATTACCATTTTGTGTTGATACCAAAAAGGATCCTTTATACTTTGTCATTTTATGAAGCAAAGATGCATTTGACAGGTAAGTGATGATGACAGATAGACAGGTTGGTCAATTCTGTATTCAGGTGAGTGTCACTGAACTCTCAAGTGCGTCTTTACCTCAATAAAATCTGGGTATAATTCTAATGGAAGTTATGGTGCTCAAACATTTCACCATGATAATGCGGATGATTTCTTCTCTATTGGCTGTTATATTCCATCTTTTTTCCATTGTTGTTGATTTCCTTTCTCTGTGAAAGGAAAATATTGACTGAGTCTTGTTTCCAAAAACAAAGAGAATACTCTTAAATACATGAGTTTATTCAGTTTACTGTTTCATTGAACTCCTCATTTTCAGTTGCTGTGTCGGGTATTTTTTTTGTTGGATTAAATTGCAAAGGAATTCTTTAATATTACATCTTTATTAGTTTACAATGAAATACAAAAATGACCATATCTGTATGAGCTATGTAACAGATTTACTTCATTTTGCATGTAAGGAACAGGTTTGTATTTCTGAATTTTATAAAGATCAGATAATTGTGGATGTAAGAAAATTCTGGGTATTTGTTGAGTATTTCTCTTGAAGGTAATTTTTTGTAAGTATTTTATTTGCTTTAAGTACTTTCAAGTACTCTGAGAGTTAAGACAAAAAAACCTTTTCAATTTCTTTTGAATGCTCGCTCCGGAGTCGCCAAAGAAAAGAGATTCCTCTATCCTATTATTTAATAGTTGACGTCTATGTTAAAATACCTACCACAATATTTTCTTTTTTACAAATATTATAAGAGCATGGAAAGGGATAACCCTAGCTTGCTGAAGGTGTTGGTGACGAAGCCGAGTTAGACGATGGGGCTGAGGTGGTTGTGGTGGTCGTCGTGGTGGGAGGTGCAGTGACAAATTTGTATGTGGCTGGTTTTAAGTAGCTGGAATATCAAGTAATGTATGAAAAAATATAAATGAGTATAAGAAACACGTTTATGCTTATCAATAAATGAAAGTGAATGACCAAAAATACAGAGAAGTTAATGATAAAAGTGAAGAATATATGCTCAAATTGCCAACAGATGACACAAAACAATTACAGTCATATTTCTCTTCATATGTCAAAACAATGAAACAATTAAAAAATTAAAAATAAAATAAAATAATAATAATAATCATAATAATAATACATATATATCAATCTTAACTCACCTGAAGGGAGAAGTGGGATAAGCCACAA